GTGTGTGTGTGTGTGTGTGTGTGTGTGTGTGTGTGTGTGTGTGTGTGAAAGACAGAGAAATAGAGATTCTGGAACTTGAGACACTGAGGCAGGAGGATTCCTGTGAGTTCCAGGCCAGTGTGAGTCACATCATGAATTCATGTCTCAGAAAGAGAGAAAGGAAGCCACAATCACTGTGATTTAACTCAGTGTGTCAAAGCTAGTCATTGCCACCAATGTCCATGTTTCAAAGTTACATGTGTCAAAAATTCTGGACACATTTTATTTCCCCCGCACCCATGGGACCCCAGCCTGCACATTGTAGCCACTCAAGTTCAACCTGAGTGCACAGGCCACAGACTCACTGTTCCATGTCCATGTGTGGCCGGGGAATAGCTTCTGTGTCAGATAGCCCAGGGCTAGAAGCTCATCTTGGGGACGTGGACAGAAGAAACAAGGGTTCCTCTTTTGGGTTTATGAGTAAGTAGAGACCTGGAAGGATCCCAATCCAACTCACATCACAAACTGTAGCAGTTTGGTTTTGCTCTCACCACTGCTGAATGTCTGGATCATGTAGAGTATCTAGTAAGCACTCAATAAATGTGTCTAGTTGAACCATAAACACATACACACTCGTGTACTGTATCTATAGGGCACATCCCTCAGAGTTCACACACACGCTTATGGCATCTGCTGTAGCTTATTCTTGATCAGACATTGTTGGACAGAATCTCCCAACAGGTGGACAGATAGAAGCCAAGCTTGAGTTCTTCCCTCCCCTTGTGAATCCATTAAGGAAGGCTGTCTGTGATTGGATAGGATTCAATCATGGTGGACAGGCATCAGAAACATGGAGTTGAATAACAGGTAGGGCCCATCCTTTGTGGTTCAAGGGCCTGCAGCAGAGCAGGATATGCCCCTGACTCTGGAGCCTCCTGGGCATGTCCTGTTGGCCTCACAGGACGATACTTGCTCACAGCAGGATGCATGTCCAGTTCTGTTCCACCTGAGGCTAGAGGGACAGCAGAATAAGGTCAGAACATCAAGTTTACCCTGCAGTCATCCCTGCACTATGGGAGGAGAATGTTGAGATCAAGGCCAGCCTGAGCTACACAGCAGAAACCCACATCGCACCCACCACAACAAAAACCAAAAGCTAACCTGCTCGAAAGGTACAGGAACCTCCATCTGAAATGAAAAGACACAATCACGTCAGGAGCCTGCATTCCTGCATGGAAGGAAATGCAAACCAGCCCGGGGGGTGGGTACCATGACTGGACACCTGGAGATCAACAGAAAAGGGGCCAGCACATTCCCAGGTTGGAAAGACGGCCATCAGGACACCTTCATGACTATGCCCACTGAAGGTGCTTATGGCCCCACCTACAGTCCCATTCTTCAGTAACAGATCTGCCAAAGGGGAGACATGGCCTCGCAATCTCTCTGCTGCAGTACAGGACTACAGGCCACTGTTCCCACAGCTGCCTCCCTCCAGGTCCCCTCTCACTTCCTTCCTGACCTACTGAGGTTTCTTTCCCTCATCCCTGCACCCATGTTCATCCCCACACTGAGGTCACACGTGACATCATAACTTCCCTAGCATCAGGCAGACCCTGCCCCAGGAGGAGAGACATCCAAGAGCAGTTCCCTCTGCCCCTCTGTGGCTGTGACACAGCTTTGCTGAGTCCCATTGGTCAGGTGACAATGAGTCAGGGAAGACAGGTTGCTTCATGGACCTGGCAGTGGCTTCAGAATCCACGGGATCCCAGCCCCACCAATCACTAGATGAGTGTCCTTGAGCCAGCAACCTTAGTTCTGAATCTGCTTTACACTCTCTCCGTGTGTGTCAGTGTGTGTGTGCGTGTGTGTCATTATTTTGTGTGTGTTTGTGTGTACATGTGAGTGTTTGAGTTTGTGTAAATGTGTACATGAGTGTGTGTTGAGTGAGTTTCTGTGATTGTGTGTGTGTACATGTTCACATGTGTAGCAGCACAGAGATGAAGGCCATAGGATAACTTGGGGGATTTATTTTTTTCTCCTTCGACCATATGGGTTCTAGGGATCAAACCCAGGTCTTCAGTGTGGGCAGGGCCTTTACCCACTGAGCCATGTTGCCAGCCCATGATAGCTCTGAATGGTGAGAAAATGGCTGTAAAACAAAGCAAGCAGCTGGCCTCCATGGGGTCGTGGAGACCTTAGTAAAAGACTACAACTCAGAATATTCTCCAAATAGATGGAGTTACCAAAGCTGTGTGCAAGGGGACAGGGTGATGACAGGGTCTCACCGGCACATCCCAGGAACACACGAGGGAACCATCCTTTTTCATAAAGCGTGGCTTCCACAGCCACACCTCAGCCTCTAAGGCCAACCGCCTCCAGCCCTCTGGGTTCCCACCAGCCACGTTCCCAGTTGGGTCAGCCGGGTCCAGGATCACAGGCCTACAGAGCAACATTCAGACAGCAATTGTTCAGCTGGCCAGTGTCTCAGGTGCCACTGCACAGGGGCAGGGGAGGAGCCCAGCAGAGCATCCCTATCTAAAGTCTCCCCTCTGTCCCTGCCTCACAGCATACAGCAAGCCTGGAGGGATCCTTGGCATCACCTGGAAGGCCTGGGTTCAAATCCTCTACCCTTAGTAGCTGTGTGTCCTGAGGCAGGTCCCTCAGGCTCTCTGATCTGTTAGCTGGGAGAGTTGGATCAGCCAGTGTCATGGGAAAACTGAATACAACACAGGATGAAGACATGTCACTCCCTAGGGTGACACAGCTCTATCATTTACAGCTTCCCAACCCCTATGACTTCAACACTGGAATCTTTCAGTTCCCACTCTGTACACTTCCCTTCCCTTGCTGCTCAATCTGAACAATGTCACAGCCTTGTTTCCTCTTGTAGACAGGAGAGCCCACACCTGCCTCCTTCCCTGGGCTATAGAGCCTCATGTCAATTGACAATCAAGTGACAACAGGGACATGCTCAATGCAGGAGATGCTTCACTGACACAGAGCTCCCACCTCCCCCTTTCCACACAGGTACAGCCTGGCACTGATGGGGAACAGAGCCACGTGGGGGCAGACACCTGGCTTTTCTGAGCTGTCTGTGCAGGTATTTGGAGACATCCTGGTGTTGAAAGTCATAATATTTTGTCCAGTAGATTCGAAGCTGTGTGTACTTGCTGATCAGTTCCAAGACAGTTTTGAAGCCCTCGGCTGTGATGAACTCAGTCAATCCATTCCCATGTTCCCAGGCATGGACTGTGAGCAGCTCCAGGGCATACTGTTGTGGCAGAGGCTTCCCCAGCTTCTCCTTACACTGAGAAGAGAAAGACAATGAGAAAAACAGGGCTTTCAGCTATTGCGTGGGGGCTACTTCTCACAGGCTCAATTCAGCTGCCACCTGATGATGTCATTACAGGTTGATAGTCACACAGCCACGCCCAGGCTTTTTGATTCAGACTCTGGCTCCTCCTGTGCTGTAGTCAAGAGCTGATTAGTTCCCATGGACCCTGTGTGCTCCACAAAGACAGCATTCACAAGCAGGCACAGGAGGAATCAAGACACCATGAGTGACAGCTAGGAGTGTGGGTGGGGGCGGGACATAAGGAGTCCTCACTATGGAAGTTTTCTCATGGTCTCTGAAGTAACATGGAAGGGGCCAGGGAGATGGTTCAGGGGTGAAGTGTCTCCCTCCCCATGCAGGGCTGAGAACTAGAGGTCAGACCCCAGCATCTACATGAGTGTCAGGCTCTTGAGGAAGCAAACTCATAATTGTAGTTTAAGGAGGTAGAGAAGGGGCTTCCAGGAGCTATGTGACTGTGCAGACCTGCTGATCCAGCACACGGTGTATCATGTGTGAGACCCTGACTGATTACACAAGATGGGGCGTGAATGAGGACCTGCCCTCACGCTCTGCCCTCAAATGCTAAAGGTACACATGCACAGATATACAACATTTGCTCCCATGAACAGGTATAAACACACTCACACACAGGCACACAAACAAACACACACAGACACGAAAACACTCAGAATATAATAAGAAATCATGCTTTTAAAGACACAGCTTGACAAGTCAGGAATATCAAAGTATAAAAGGCAACCTGAAGGGTTTGGCCAAGATGGAAGACAAATCCAAAGGCACAAATGAAGCAGCAGCCATAGACAGTGAATTAGACACAGCTGGAGAGTGAGTTAGCTGACCGGAAAGTGGACTACAAGAAATCACCTAGAACAACCATGGCAAGTCCTCGCTTCTCTCAACTACCCCTCCCCACTCCTTGCCCCTCCTACAGCATCCCCTCCCCCAACTCCACTCACCTCTGCTTCTCTCTCACCCCCTCTGCTCTGATTCCCTTCCCCCCATTTTTCTTTTACATAAGCTTTTTTTTTTTTAATTTTCACTCTTCTTGCCAATTTTTATTCTTTTTGTTAACCTGACACAGAGAGAGTCATCTGGAGAAACAGTGAGGAAATGCTTCCACCATGTTGCTCCTTGGGAGGATTGAGGAAGGAGGATGGAACTTTGGGTTGGAAAGCTGTTGAAAGCTGAGAGCCTACCAGGCTGTTTGTGGGAACCTGGAAGACAGGGGAGCTGAGAGGCAGGCAGAGGACAGAGGCTGGAGTGAAGTTTCAGAGGAAAGCAAGGATCACATCTGGGCTCCTTGTGTGCTGTGTTTGCATGAAGAATCAGGGGTTTCTCATTAGCTGGGGCTGAGATTTAGCTCTGATGAAGAAGAGACATGCACCATGGGGGCTGAGCCATCTGAAAAGAGTTTCCTTATGGTCAGCAAATGGTAGCTGTGGTGCCAAAGCTGCATCTCCAGCTTGCAGGTCACACCTGGAACTGCAGAGAAATCTCCCAGGTGGTAAGGTTTGCTTACATGAAACCTGCAGGTCTGGAGGGGTCATGGAGAGCAGCTGAGGCCTGGCACTGGGAGAGGCCAGGAGAAGCCATTGGTGAAAGTGCAGTCTCAATGGCAGTGGAGACCCCTGAGACACTGGAGTTGTCCTGAGCAGGGGACGACTGCCAGGACCAGAGCAATGTGAGAAGAGAGCTGACCTGAGCCTGAGACCAGCTGTGTGTGCTGTGGATGGCAGAGCCTGAGAAGCTCAGAGAACTGTGAGTCCCAGATACCAGAAACTGAGTCTTTTTGCTCTGTTGGGGTTTGGTTGTGTTTTAAGCTGATTGTGACAGTGACCAGGTTTTCTCCTCTTACAGTAAGAAAATATTTAATTTATGTTTTTAATATTATATAAGCCTACCATTGAGAGACTAGTCTTTTTACGTTTCGATTTTCTTTAGGTTTGATTTTGAATTTGAGGACTTTAAAGCTGCGGTGTGTTCTATGATATAATACTGACCTGAGATCTTAGGGACAAGCAAGAAAGGAAAGGTTACGGTTCAATCGTGGTTTGCGTGTGTGCATGTTGTAAAGGGGGTCAATTGTGCTGGTTAGTTTTTGTCAACTAAACACCATCTAGCATCCTCTGGTTGGAGTCAATCTTGATCAGTAAAATGCCTCCATCTGACTGGCAACGGGAAGTTTGTGGGGGCATGTTACTAATTGCTGATTGATGTGGGTGGGAATAGACCACTGTGGTTGGGGCCATGAATGGAATGTGGCCTTGGGCTGTATAGAAATGCACACTGAGAGAGCCCTGGACAGCAAACAGTGAGCAGAGTTCCTCCATGGTCTCTGCTTCAGGTTTCCCCTAATCCCTCAATGATGGACTCCGCCTCAGATGTGTAAACAAATAATATCTTTCCATCCCAGGAGACTCGTGGTTATGTGATAAAGCTATCACCTCAAGAGAAACCAAACTAGAATATACATCTTCTGTGGCCCGTGTATACACTTTGTCCAGATGAAGCCCGCCCTCAGTGACTAGGTCAGATGCCTTACCAGTTGGTACCAGTGCTTGACCAGGCGGATGAGACTCTTCACCTTGGTTGGGCGCTGCTTCAGGAAGTTCCGCTGGAGCTCGGTGAAGCAGGTAGAGAACTCGCCCTCCAGTCCCAGGGAGGTACATTCCGAGATGAGACTGGCGTAGATTTCAGGATCAGGCTTGCTGTATATGGTAACATGACCTGTAAAGGAGGTTTCATTCATTTTAACAACTCAGCCCTTCTATGAGGTTCTTCAGTCTCTCTGAGGTGACAAGGTCAGTGGCCATGGGACTCAGTGAAAAGGCAGAGCTTTTCCACAGCAGGCGTCAGTCCACATGTACCCATCTGCACCACCACTCCTCAGGACAGCACACATGCTGGGCACTACAAAGTCTGTGCCATCTAGTCCAGAGCCTTCCTCACAGGCCTGGAGACAGTGGTGGCAGGAACCAGCACACTGTGGTCACACACAAGGCAGCTACTCAGTCATCAGATAATGGCCAACCACACCTGGTTCCAGTATCTTCTGCATGGTTCTTGTCAACTGTGTGCAAGCCTGCTTGTGTCAGAGTTTACTGTGGAGCGGTCTGCTGCATTCGTGTATCATGTCTCATGCTGACAGATTCTCTTCCCCGTTTTGTGAATGGATTGCATACACCAAGGTGTCTCCCCAGACACTGGGTTTTCACTGCATGATTTTCTGTTGTATATGACTTAATATTGTTTGGTTTTGTTTCCCAACATCCTGACAGGAACAAGACATGGCAGTGTTCGTATGTGTGTGTGTGTGTGTGTGTGTGTGTGTGTGTGTGTCCTTCCTGTGCACTTGTACAGTGGATGGGTGGCAGGCTATGGAATAGATGTGTGTATAGTTGTGTTTGCACATTTGAGTAGACTAGGCAGGCAGCAGGCTGTGACGTGTCTGCACGTGTGTGCCATGCAGCAGGCTATGCCAACAGAGTTTGATGTTGTCACAGGGAAAAGTCACTCACGGATGGAGCTTGGACAAGCCAGTCACTCAGTGACCAGGGAGGTCTTTCCCTCATGGGCTTATTTTCAGTTTCATGGTCTAGATTACAATATGGCTCATGGCCTGTGTCATCTTGTGTTGGGCTATGACTATGGTCCTCTCTTTGGCTGTCGCCCACACCACCATTCCCAAGGCAGTCCTTCTGTGGTGGAGACACCTCCTCTTTTGAAAGCTACTAAGGCTGAGGAAGTCCTTGACCCAGACAGGCTTCTGGGGGAGCCCCCTCCTGGCTCATTTCTGGGTCGACCAACTGAGCTCCCTCCACTGAGTAGGGTTCTAAGCCTCTTGTAGCTTCCCACAGCAGGCTGCCCTGGTCCTACTTCCAGGCTGGCCCTCTCAGTCCCTGCTGCCTGAGACTCTGGACTGTTTCCAAGGCTCTCCTAAGCCTTGTCTCTAAGTTGATAGCAGCAGTTCACACAGTGGCCAAGAGGGGGTGCTGTGTCCCTCAAATGTAAAGGCTCAAGTATTCCACAAGGCCCTACTGTGCTCTCAGAGGTGTTCCCTGAATCAGGCAATTTGTAATTTTGGAGACACCCTGTGTGTCAGGCCTGGTATAAGATTGTTGCAGAATATTTGATCACACTGTGAACCCTGAGATTAAGTTGTTTACTGGGAAAAAAAAATCTGGTTTTAGTTGTGTTGTGGTTCAATCTTTGTACACCCCTTTAATCTAGGAGCTTTCTGCCTGAATATTGTAAACAGGATTAAATAAAGTCAATCATAGGTCAAGAAGCAGAACAAGCACCAGTTGACTGGAAGTGAACATGGGATTATTAAGAAAAAAACATAGAGATTAAGAGAGAGTCAAGAGGAAGGATAGACAGACCCACAGGAAGTAGAAGAGAGTTTGAAAGAGGCATGAAGAGAGTTTTGTGATGTTATGAGAGAGGGGTGCATTCTGGAACATTCTGGCTGAGGAAGAAGGTGATTCTGGGTGCTTTCCCTCCCTGAGCTAGCAGGGTTTCACCACAGCATGTGGCTTGCAAGTCTTCAGTGGTAAAATTGAATAATTGAGATTTTTGTCAAAAGACAAGATGAGATCTTTTCATGTGTAATGACATGTGTGTGCATGTGAGTGGTTGGGACAGTGGTGGCTGCATCTTCAGATTTACCAAGGGGACAGAGCTCCACTGAGAAGATCTACATCCTGCACAAACCTCCCTCAGACACCCCAGGTCTCTGCCCAGCTCTGAGGTTCCCAGTCTTTGGGAGAAGACTCATGAGTTTGTTATTTTCAGTGAAGTCTACACGATCTCATGTTTAGGAAGACACAAGGCACAGCCAGCCATGAATAGGCCTGGCATGTTAAGGGAGCATCTAGTGTGACTTCCTCCCCTAACTGAGCCAGCTCACTACTGGATGTCCTTCTGGGATGGAGTCTCTCTCCCCACTATCAAGTTCCTAAAATCCCTCCTCCCCAGCTCAGCTTTACAGAGATACTCTCTTTAGGTGAATTTCTCAAATGATAAGCATTTTCAGTTCAGGGATGGAAGGTGTGGGCTGGGGAGACGGCTCAGTCAGTAATCTGCTTTGCTCACAAGCTTGAGGACTCATGTTGGAATCCCAGGACTCAAAGAAAAGGCTGGTGTTGGTGGGCTAGGATTGTAATCCCAGTGTTGAGAAGGGGTGGGGGAGATTTTAGGGTCCCTGGGGCTCTTCCCAACCAGTCAGGCTCATGTGTGAATTCTGAACCATGGAGAGACAAGGTCTCAAAAAGATGGGTGACTCTCCAGATGTGTTAGCCATGTCTCAGGATACACCCCCACACAAGAGAACACCTACAAATCACACATGTGAATGTTCGGTGCACTCAGGCACAAACCTACACATACACACATACACACACCTCCCCACACACATATACACACACATACACACAGCCACACACGAGAGAACACCTATGAAACACAAACATGTGCATACACACATACACACATACACAGGAACACACACATACACACATAGACACACACACAGATAGACACACACACATACAAAAACATATACACATACATACACACACATACACACAAGAGAGCATCTACAAAACACACACATGCACACACACATACACACACATTCACACACACATACACACACACATATACACAAACATACACATGCACACACACACATACACACACATACACATCCACACATCCACATACAATAGAACACCTATGAAACACACACACACAGAGCTGGAACTAAAAGGGAGGATGAAGGCATGCAGAAGGGTGAGCCGAGCTCTCTGGCAGGCTGACTTACCCAGGACATCAAAGGCTGGAAGCACATCAAACTCCACCTCTTGATGAAGGTCGGGTGTGCTCAACTTAAAGCTCAGAGACCGGGCATTGGGCCACCATGAACTCTGGACCTCAAACTTGACTCTAAAATGTCTCTCACGCTGAACCTCATACAACTGTTTCTTAATTTCCTTGATGAACTCTCCCCGTCGGTTCAACTGATCCTCAAAGCTGGTGAGATTGTTAAGGAACACCACCAGGTCAGCATCTGACTTTCCCTTGATCGTGGTGCCTTTGCCTGAGGATCCACCCTGAAAGACAAGGTTGAGAATGACAAGGGACAGGGAGAGCCATGCTGGGCAGTCCAGATGCTGAAGAACCTAGGGGTCCTACACTGAGGGTGACGGATGGATGAATAGAGCAAGCTGACACTTGTGCAGTGGAATACTAGTCAGCCCTGAAGAGTGACATCAGGGTCTATGTAGGAAAATAGAAGGTGCTGGATCTCCTCATGGTACAGAAGATAAACCAGACTATGAAGGACAAACATCCATGTTTATCTGTGGAGTCTATATCTGTGTGTGTGTGTGTGTGTGTGTGTGTGTGTGTGTGTGTGTGAGAGAGAGAGAGAGAGAGAGAGAGAGAGAGAGAGAGAGAGGGAGAGGGAGAGGGAGAGGGAGAGGGAGAGGGAGAGGGAGAGAGACGTGGAAGTATGTATGGCACTGGTGTAGGGGAGGGATCTAAAGGAAATGAGCAAGGAATAGTAATGTGTGACCCTATAGCACAGTGTAATATGGAATACCATATAGAATCATAGAGCAACTGAAAAGTAAAAAAAAAGATCAATATCTAGAAAACAATCATTTTAAAAAGAAGAATTCCCACTGAGAAGAGCCTCCCTAAATCAAATGCTGAGACTCATCACTAACACACGTGAGCATCAGCCACTTTCGAGAGGGGGCATTACAAATTGTCACACCTGCGGATGGAGAGGTGGGTCAGTCGTTAAACGTGCCTGCTGTTCCTGTGATGACCTCAGTTGAGTTCCCAGCACCCAAGTAGGCCAGCTCACAAACACCTCAGCTCTAAGGGATCGGATACCCACTCTTTGATCTTAAGAGAACCTGCACTACTGCATACAGGGCCCTCACTCACAACTAAACATATAAAAATACAATCAACTAAAACAAGAAAAAACTTCATTTCTGCGGCCTTCACAGAGCCTGAGAGTTAGGTACCATCACCATGAAATGCGATTTGACAGACGCAGAACTGAACCCAGAGAGGGTCCATCAATCCAGTCACACACCAGGAGGGTCCTGTTCTGTCCTCTGTGTCACATTTGACTTAGTCTATGTGTCCTTGCCATCCTGTGGCGCGGACTGAGAACACTGGGCATGGAGAAGTTAGTTAAGTTACCCTATGTCACACAGCAGTTCAAAGGTTGTATTTCTCCCAACCCCCTACCCCTAATGTGCCACTCTCCAACAATGCTTTGCTGATTTGGGTCTCAGTTTCCCTGACTCTGAAATGGGCGTGGCCTGGGAGTGGGGAACATAAACTGTAGCTGAGGTTCCTTCTCCAATACAGATGTGGGACCCTGGGGGAAGAACCCACTGCCCAGCTGTGATCAGAGTTGAGGAGGAGGGATCAGAGATGCAGCCTGGCTTCTGAGAGTCCTCTCCCACCCCATCTTGGTCAGCACAGGCTGTGGAGAGCTCACCTTCACCACCTTGGAGACCCTCACTGGATGGGCAGCATCTCGGAAGCATCTCTCCTTCAGGAAATCACACACGATATTGATGGCTGATTTGACATCATCACCAAAGCGGGTATCCGGAAGGAGGTAATCCTCTATGAACTTGTCCAGCTTCCAGGCTGGGATGCTCTTGAGTTCCTGCCCCATGATAGGTCTGGAGCTTTTACCTTTGCAGCCTGCAGGTCCTGGGTCTTTCAGCCTGGCTGAACCAGGAACAAGATTTTCAGTTTCCATTTCCCAGAAAGGGTGTGGCTATGCATAACAGCCAGGTCCGGGCAGCCAATGACTTCAGAGCTTCTGACTAGGTACCTCCAAACCAGAGCATTCTCAGGATCCCACCCTGGGAAGAACTCATAAGGAAACAGATCTGGTTTTCTCTGGTTTCTTCTGGCAAAAGCTGTTACACAGCATGTTTGAAGAGCAATCTGTACACTTAGGAGAAGAGGGGAAATCGAGTCAGGAAACTGCAGAAGGTGGCTGGTGGCTCCTGAGCTCCGCTTCCAGCTCCTGCAAACCTTTTAGGTGGAACTGCATGTTATTTTCTTTTTAAGAACAGCACCGTACAGGTTTTGCTTTTCCTTCACCTCTGGACTTGCAGTTCTAGGAATACAGAAACTTCTTACAGAAAGCTCAGCCTTCCCAGAAGCTCCCTCTCCTACTCACGTCCTACATTTTCCCCTGTGGTGTTGGGGGGCGGGGTGAGGGTTGGGTCTAGCCCAGGGCATGCCCAAGGGTGAAGCAAAAGTAAAGGCTGTACCACCGAACTGGGAACAGGACCGATCAGCATTGGATAGTACAGTCTTTCAGGGCCAAAGGTTGACAGCCTTTGGGTGGCACAGGTTTTGGGTGGATCCTCATGGGGCCACCACCCAAGGCCTCGTCAAAACAGTTTGGCGCCCTCCAAGCCCCTCCCTCTGTCTCCTTATCTCTTGTTTAATGTTTTCCACTTAATGGTTGTTGTGGTCTTACTTTGAGGCCAAGGCTGGACTTGAACTCACGATTCCTCTAGGTTGGTCCTCTCAGTGCTGGTGTTACAGGGTGGCCACTGTGCCTAGCTGTGCAGTGGATTGCCTTGGTGCTGTTTGTAGTCTGATGCTAATCCTGCCCCAGAGGAGCAGCAGATGGAATACTCAGGTGATTCCATGTGAACCTGCTCCCCATTTTAACTCATCAAATAAAGGCTAGAGCCTGTGATTGGGCAGTGGAAGGGAAAGGCAGGGCTGGAGGTTTTAGAGAAGAGAGAGATAGAGGAAGGAAGAGGGGAAGATGAGCTGGAGGATGGAGAGAGGAGAAGATGGAGGAAGAGGAGGCAGAAGATGGAGCAGACCCACGTGACCTGGAGGAGCCACAAGTAGCAAGGTATCTTATAGCTGGGGAATAGAGTAGTGGAATGGCATATCTGCCCAATCTTGGGTGTGCACCTTATAAATATTACAACTGAGTTGTGTGCTCTTTGCATGGGCATATTGGGATTGGAGATTTACTGATACAAATCTGGCCGGTATTAAATATTAAGGTTGTCCGGTGTTTCCCATTCAAGATGATTTAGGTGGGCAAGAGACAGGGCAAAACCACAGAGCAGTCACTGGAGGTCTGCAGACCAGCCACGGGGGTAGATAGCCTCTGGAACGGGAGCCATACCTTCAGGCTTTCTCTGGAATGACCAGTTTGAGCAGCTAAGAAAGTCAGCCTTGGGAACCAGGGCCAGAGAGCCATTTTCTGTATCAGGCAAGGAAAAATAAGCAGCTACTGATCCCAGAGCCTAGCCGAACCAAGCTTGGGATTTTTAAACTTACACTCAACAATAATGTCTTGTGCAATGTGTGTTAACTTACACCTAAGGCAAAATGTCACCACAAGGGCTCAGACAGCTGAGACGGACAGTGCTATGCTAAACTGTCATCATTCAGCAAGATTATAGGTTTACTGTGTATGTGCTTCTGTAAATATACAGATAAAGACCCAAAAGAGGGTGAGGAATTTGTCCTTAGAAAATCAACACCATGGGACTCTTCACTAAGAGCACTGGAGACACCAAGGACCACAGCAATGCAGGAAAATCAAACTGTGCAATCTGTGACCAAAGATGACTTTACAACTTAGTTGTCTGTGTGAGGATGAGATTTGGACCACTGAATTTAATCACAGTGCACCGACTCCAACTCAAAACTAATTTATCCTCACTCTTCCTTTTTTAATTCCCTTCTTTCCATATGTCATCCTTTTTTTCTTCCTATTAAATGGATCTTATTATACGTCTAGCCCGGAATTCACAGAACTCTAAGTATCTTAGGGTCCCAAATTCTGGTATTATACACACGCACACGCGCACACACACACACAGAGTCACCACAATTCACACAGACCTAATGATTCCATAGGCCAGTGTGCTGACCCAGCATCTTGTGAATACACAGATACATTAACCACAAAAGAATCACACGTGCTCTGTCCGCTTAGGCTGATGCTCACTAAGAAGGCGGGAAATTGCTAAAAAGCCACAAGCTTCCAACCCCTGCTCCTGTCCCCACACCCTACTCCTGACCCAGTGTCCTCTCTCAATCTCTGTGAAGTGGGAGGAGCGGATGTCCCTGGTCCCCAGTCCTTCAGTTCTCTCTCTAGCAGCCCTGAGGTGCAGGAGCCCAAAGGCCCACGGGTGTTAGAAGATGCAGATCCCCTGGACCACAGACTCTTCCCACTCTGCCTGGTGCTCTATCTGAGCCTTCGGTGGACATGGTAATACTGGTCTATGATTCCAGTCTTGTCCCTTCTGAAACACTTGCATATCCACAGAGAGGTTTTTAAAAAAACATGGCCATGGGTCTCTGGACAAGTGGGGACGCATCGTATCCTCACTAAGACTCCCATGTAAGTCCTTCTCTCTTCTCCAGCCCTGTCGGTACTCAACACTGGACACTAGCTTCCTATTGGACCAATCGCTCCTCATCCTGGGCCTGCTTCTCCCCTTCAGGTTGGTCATGTAGTGGCTCCCTCATGCCAAGAAGGAAGACACAGACCACAGTTCCCCTACTCTGGTTCCTGACTTCCTCTCCAAGCAGGACACAGGTGACACCCGGGTACCTCCAGAGGAGCCCTGGAACCACATCCTTTGTCCCAGTCCCTGCCCTTCACTTCAGGTCTGGATTGTACCTGCAATCTCAAGCCCCAAAGGATACCACTGACTGTCCCTGTGCCTGGCATGACCCTGCTTGTGTTTTGATGACATCTGGACACCACTGGCAAAGAGAGACAGAACCTGGGACATTAAATGAACCTGGGTCCCACATTGGTCATCAGGATGGTCCAGTTCTGAGGCGTGTGGCATCCTCTCATGATGGGCTCAATGACAGAGTGTGGTGGGAGGAGAGAGGCTGAGACTGGGAAGCTCCAGCCAGCAGAAGGTACAGGTGGAGGCAGAGTCTTGACTGTAACACTGGAAAGGACCCATATGCTGATGCCTGGACTTGGGGGTTCTCACCCAGAGTTTCTCAGCTCTTTACACCCTGTTGTCACATTGCCATAGGCAAAACCACACAGTTTATCTCTGCTACCACATGATATGGACCGGGCACCTTTGTCTCCTCAGTGACTCTGGGTCTGTCTCCCACACACAATCTGCTTCTCTTGTTTCTGTTTCTTCTGGTTTTTGTTCCCACCTCTGTGTCTTTGCAAAGTCTGTTCCCAGCACCTTACGTGCTATTCCACTTCTGTGATTGGCTGGAGGCTCTGAGTTCTTCTGTCCTGGGCTAAGAGGTTCCTGCCTCGGGGAGCAACTCCCGAGCCCATTCAAGGGTCCCAGGCAGAGTAAGCAGCCCTGCCACCCCTCCCATAGAGTCTTATAAGCAGAACTTCCTGAGAAAGGGAAGGATGATCAAGAAGAAAAGCCACGTGGCTTGTAGAAAGACTCTACAAGGCTGACTAACCAATTAGATCTTAGTGATGGAGAGTTGGAATGTTGCCGAGCCAGAGCAGAATCATCAATTACCGTGGGCTCTCTTCAGCACATTTGACAGGCACTCATTGCCCACCATTGTGTTACCCAGCAGGGAGCCCTGCCAAGAAGGACTGGCCTGGCTAGATCTGCCATGGGTGCACTGGTGGTGGCAGGGAGGTTATGGAGAATGACTGGACACATTCTCACTGGATTTGAGGACCACTCCACAGGAGGCCGCTCCATCCTGGTCCTGCACATCTGGTGGGGAACCCACCACTGGGCGATCACAGGCCCCGGGGATGAACCCACCGCAGTGATTTTGATGTGGACAGAAAGTCAGACTGGTCCTCACATCTTCATACTCATAGTATGTAGGCATCCCTCGTCTGAAGTTCCTGCTTCTCGGAGGACTCTAGCTTGAGTCTAGTTGGCATTAAACCAGCCGGGACAAGTCAGTTTCCCTTATGTGGTCTCTGGCAGGTTGTCCACATCCAGTGGTTTGGCCTCACACCTGTGTGAGTGTGAGAAGCACTGATGTATCCAGTGCTTTATTCATTGAGAGTCACACTAAATCAGGCTGGGGCGCCTTACATGGGAGGAAAGGGGGGTTAATTTGATCAGGATATATTGAATGTATATTCTGATATTTCAAAAAATATTTTACAAAATGTCCAGGATGATACTTAATTCCACTATATTTTGCCTTTTCAAGAGGCACAAACACTTCTGCAGACCTGGTCAGTTCCCCCCCCCCCAGGTGACTCCTGGGGATATCATGTCCTCAGCCACTGCTGGACATGTGGGCAAGAGGGCAGATCCTGGTCTTACACATTGTGACCTGGACACTCTGGCTCAGTTAGGCTTGCCGTGGATGTTGGCCTCGTTGAGATGAGTGACCCTTGTTCAGATGTACGGGAGAGCAGGGAAGCAGTATAGATCAGCTGGGCACACTGACACACTATAATACCAGCAACAGGGGCTGAGGCAGGAGGATTGCTGTAAGTGGAATGACAGCCAGCCTATAACAGAGACCCTGCCTCATAAACAAAAACAAAAAGGGTCACTGAGATAGCTCAGAGGGCACTCAGGTTTTTGTCACAAGCCTAGTGGCCTGAGTTTGGTCTCTGGGACCCATGTGGTGGAAGGAGAGAGTGCCGACTCCTACAAGTTGTCCTCTGATGTCACCTGCTCACACACATGAAATAATGGAATAGAATATTTAAAGCACAATTAGCTTAGTCCTCCCCAGATCTGCACAGGA